TAGTCAATGATCAATATTTGTAAGACATGGGAAAGAATGTGGGTGTGAACTTCTCACTCTGAAAGAACAAAGATGAAGCATCTATACAAGCATATAGTGGAAAGGTTTCCACTGTGCTATTTTGCGTATGCTTTGAGTGCAAAAGCAAAAGCCCCACAATCAGTTCTTGGTTTCTCTACATAAAAGATAACTAGGAGCAAGAAAGACAGCTACTTAAAACCTTCTCTTTTATGATATGCTAGCTCATAGATTACGTGAATTAAATTTTCACCCATTAGGAAGGCTGTTTCAGATATTCTGTAGCTATTCCTCCCTGCAGCCACACCTAGAAGTTTCTTAGTGGGCTTCTAGATCCTATGCTGTGTTAGAAAAGAGTTTGAGAGTCTTTGTTTATAAAAATTAATACTGAATTTAATGTTTTCTGAACTGTTCATCTGTATACCTGGTTCCTTGCTTTACTTCTTTCATACAAATGAATGGAATTAATAAATGTTAAGAGATCACTGAAAGAAACTTTAAGATATATCTTAGAAGACACTGAAAGACAGAATGTATAAAAGTTCCTCAAACATATTCTGGGAATATAATCAAAAAGAAGGGGCATTTTCTCACGTTTGGTGAACATGTAAAAAAAGCCAATTAATAGTACAGAATATTTTAAAGATTCATATACAACTGAAACCAGATATTTTTATTTTGGGATGATGGATAAGCAGTTAGAAAAAAATCATGGATTTTTTTTATACATTTATGACAACTACAAATGAGATTAATATAGGTAATCCTTGATTTGTGGCTGTAATTGAAGCTCCAATTATAGTTGTAAGTCATGAACATCGTAAAGTGAGTCACATGATCAAACCCAATTTTGGCACCATGACTGGACCTTTTTGCACCAGACATTAAGCAAACACAGTGATCATGAAGCAAATGCCATGGTTTTGTTTACTATGGGATGGTTTTTTTGTCAGAAACAGAAGTAAATGCTGGTTTCCCACAAAAACATCATAAATCACAATCATGGGATCACAGGGGACTGCAACAAGCCGTAAATGTGAGCTGGTTGTTGAGCACCCAAAATAAAACCATGTGACATCAGAACTTTGAAACAGGGTCGTAAGGTACCTTTTTCAGGATTCATTGTAACTTCAAATGGTCGTTAAGCAACCAGTTGTCAGTCGAGAAAGGTAGAAAGCTTGGACTTTACCCACAGTGAAGGAATGGATGGTGAATATGATGAAACTTGCTGAGATGGACAAATTGATTGCTTTGATGGGAGAAATCAGTTAGGGAAATCAGCACTACAGAAATAAGAGGGCTACCTAGCACTGATTAAATCTGGAGTTGGATAGGAAAAGTCAAAGTCTGGCCTAACTGGATAGAAGTTAGTCTATGACAGTGATGGTGAACCTTTTAGAGACTGAGTACCAAAACCTACCCCCCTCACCCTGCCCCTACCCCGCCTGCCCGCAGGGCCACCCACCGCCTCCATGGCCCACCGCAGATCACCCAGGTGGCCCAGCAGTGCCATGGTGGCCACGCCATCCACCCACGCCCCACAGCATCATCTGCGCGTGATGGGGTGCGAGGGCGGAGTCTTGTCCCCACTGCCCGGCTGCCATGTCCTTGGCTGTGCTGGTCCATCCGGGCCAAGCCTGGGGGCGACTCTCCTCCAGGGGGCTGCTGGTGAGAAGGGGGCACGGAGGGAGGCAGGGCTGGAGCAACAGCACACTTGCCCACAGAAATGGCTCTGAGTGCCCCCTCTGGCATGCATGCCATCTGTTCACCACCACTGGTCTATGGCATCTATAGATTCTTGTTGCTTTAATTCAGTGCTTCTCAATTATTTTCTGTCATGCCCCCCTAGGAAGAAGAAAACATTTTGCGCCCCCCTCGTCATATTTCCTCGTCTTAGCCTTCGGAAGACTTTCTTTTATCTCCTTCTCTCCTTCTCTCTCCGCCTGTCTTCTCATCCCTGTTAAAAAAAATTTTTCTGTATAGAGGACCAATTTCCGGGTCTAAAAGTCACACGGGCAGGTTTGGCCAATCAGGATAGAGCATCATGTCTATCCAATCGGGTCCTTTGCATGTGTCACGTGACCCGATCTAGAAATCCAATATGACAGTATTTGCTGAGGTCAAACGAGCCCCCCTTTACGGATCCTCGCGCCCCCCCTGGGGGCGCGCCCCACTATTTGAGAAGCACTGCTTTAATTACAGTAATGCAAATTTCTATATGCATTACATGGTAGATAGGAAAAGGGTGCTTCATCAATCTGCCATACACAGAGAACCAACATTATTGCTTAATGCAACTGATGCTTGCGATTCTATTAGATCAGTCTTCTCAAACTTAGCAGTTTTAAGCTGTGTGGAGTTCAACTCCCAGAAGTCTTCAGTCAGCATTAGAGCTCAGAGTTGACTGGGAAGCTGCCAAGGTTGAGAAACACTGACTTATATAATTACATCAAACATGGCCACTTTCAATCACTCAACCTCTTCCTTCCAAAATTCATTAAGCTGGTTATTCTGGTACAGAAAGGCGGTCAACATCTTCCCAATCAAAAGCTCCCAAAGAAACATGTCAGTGATCTGCATCAGAAGACCTGTCACACTGGACAAAACTAAATTCAAATTCTTATCATTTGCAGCCAGTATTCATGATTATGAGGCAATTGTTTAACTGTTGTTAAATTAAACATTATCATTTAGTAACAACAGTTGAAAGCAGCCAAGACTTTCTTAATGTCTTCATTTTGACAGCATCTCAGTGTGTCTCATATTCAAATCCATCAGGGTAGAAATGTTTGACCTGCTTGATTTTTGTTGAACATTTGCTGCCATCCTGTGGAAACTGGGCAACTAACAACTAGGATTTAGGAAGCCAGCTTCTTCACTCTGCAGCTTTTAAACTTAGATATGAATAGGAGTTCTTGGAATTCAACAACCAATGTAGAATCTGTTTTCAGCAATCCAATAAAATAATTATTATTATAATAATAGTATTTAAAAGTTTATTTTAGGCAAATGCAGTTTTGGATAATGAAAATATTACTTTCATCTCGGTAAAATGATCATACATGGGAGACACCATGCCTACTGTTCCTATCCAGCATTGCTTTGCTGGTACTGCCGTCTCAGTGTAAGTACAAAGACTGCAAGTGGGTTTCATGTGATTTAATGCAACTTGGCAAAATAAAGAAAAAAATTATATGTATTGGACCTAGAAAACGCTCAGGAAGTAAGTTGTTATTTTGTTAAATGTTTACAGAATTTAGATACTACTTGCTAATAAAAATAATCATGGTGATGAATAATAAAAAAGTGCTGAAATATAACATATAAAAATAAAATAAGAGCATTAAAACCAGAAGAGAAAAGCATAAGAAAACTAGCCCAGCAGTCATCTTCAGTTTTAGTGTTTCACATTTTTCCCATTTCAAATTTACTTTATCTTGCTTTCTCATTAATTTGCATTTTTTAAAAAAGTCCTGAGAAAAATTCATATCTATTCATAGACATATATTTATATACATAGCTTTTTAAAAAATGTGCTTTCTGAAAGTGATTTTTATCTAATAGAAGTAAAGTTTTTTAAATAAAAAAACAATTTATTTGAACTGTGCATTGTATAACATACAAAAAACAGCAAATGTTGGCATTCTATCACTTCTATAAATCAATGTATACTAAGCTATCATCAGGATACAAATGATACTAATTTATGCTTTACCATCCAGGCCAAGCTGGAGATCACTCTCCATCTATGTTCTATTTGTCTTTAGATAAGGAGAAATACTATATTAGAGAGCACCTTAAATCTCCAGTAAGCATGGCCACTCTGGTATGCTATTCCTAAGGCAATTGGGCACATACAACTCTCAGGAAACTTCAAAGGTTTCATGCTTCTATCTTAACAGAGGAAAGGAAAAAGAATTTATTGCAGTATTTTTCAAACTTGGCAACTTTAAGAAGTGTGACTTCAACTCTGGCTGCGGAATTCTGGAAACTGATCTTTACAATTGTTAAGGTTGCTACGTTTGAAAAATGCTGATCAGTTCCATGTAGTCCTCAACTTACGACCACAATTGGGACTGAAAAATTCACTGTTAAGTGGTGTGGTCATTGTTAAGTGAGGCATTGCATGACCACACTTGATTTTACAATGTTTTGTGGTAAGTATTAAGCATACAACATGTGATCACGGCTTGCAACTTTCCCTGCCAGCTTCCCCATTGACTTTGCTGGTCAGAAACTGGCAAGGAAGGTGGAAAATGGCAATTATATAACTGCAGGACAATACAGTTTTCATGTGAACCAGTTGCCAGCATGCTAGAATCATAACCACATGAACACAAGGACGCTGCAACAGTAGTAAGCACAAGTAACATTCATAAGTTACTTTTGTCAGTGTCCTTGTAAGTTCAAACATTTGCTAAACCAATGATTGTAAATCAAGGACTACCTGTGGTGCTGAAGGATTCATCATATTAGTGGAACTATTGCCAACAACGGACAACTAATCTACAATGTATTATAACCTTTCCCAGCCCATAGGATGTATAGCACATCAACTCCCATTATGCTCCAGCTAGCTGCGATGATTGGGAGTTTATGAGAACTCAAAACATTTGTATTTGGACAGCTCCAGACTGGGAAAAGCTGATGTATCATCTCAGTGTTTTTTAGTGCAATTAGGGCAATGGGCCCAAAGGGACCTCTGTTAAAATGTCCTAATATGATTATGTGGTTCAGTATTTCTCAATACTTTAAGATGGGTGGACTTCAGCTTCCAAAATTCCCCAGCCACCCATACTTGGGAGTTGAAGTCCACCCATGTTAAAATTGCCAAGATGGAGAAACACTGGTGTAGATACTTTACAAATAGCATCCCATCCTTAAGAGCCTCTTATACAATCAGATCTGAACAACAGAACAAAATGAAAAATTCAGCCAGACTAGAGTCTGCTCTCTCCCTCCCTCCCTCCCTCCCTCCTATCCTTAGCTTTCTTCCAATCCCAGCTTTCTGTGGCTGGACTTCAGCTCCTCCTCACATTCCAGGCCTGTTGAAACTTCCCCTAAAAATTCTCCAAAATGGAGCTGTCTCTGCCCCTTGCAACATATACACAAAAAAGCTCAAAGCTGAAAAACAAGGGTTTCATTATTTTCATTTCTATGGTGTTATGCACAGCCATACTAGGCCTGCTGCAGCTCAAGTTCTTAAAACCCAGATACAAAGACTTTTATTCCTTTGAAGTGAAGGATTGGAAAGGAAGAACCATGTCCTTGGAGAGATGTCGAGGCAAAGTAAGTAATTTCATTTTTTTTAGATGGTCAGGCAGACTTGCCGCTGTATTCTTTCTGCATAATAGTAGCACGTTAGGAATATCTGGAAATGGAAATCCAAGGTATTGAAGTTAAAAATAAATAGATAAACTGAAAACTTTCAGTAGTTCATTCTCTCCACTATCTGATTTCAGGAACTAGGAATATCCCCTGCAAAAAAATGAAATTAACTGACTTACATTTGCAGTTTTTATAATAAAATAAAGGACAATGTAAGAACTGGTTTATCAAATCAGACTCTTTTGGCAACTATCAGATGCCTCTGCCAACTTTAAAAACTGAATCTGGCTGAATCAGCTTCAATTTTTAAACTTGGCAGAGGTATCTGATAATTATCAACAGGGTCTGGTTTGATAGAGCAGTTCTTACATTGTTCTTTATTTTATTATAAAGACTACAAATGTAAGCATAGTCAGTACTGTAGGTGTCTGTGTCAGTGAACCACCGTTGACTAAAATTCTTGAATTTGGTTACTAAATGCATACATTCATTTGAACAATTGATGTTAGGATTGTTCCTAATGCTTGCAGTGCTAGGCAAACTTTTATTTCAGTGGCAGAAAGTAAGCTTGTTTCATAAATTCACATAAACTAAAGTGAACTAAAAAGTGCTTTGCTTTGTCTGAATTGTATAGTTGCTTCTACTTAATATCTATGATTTAAATGCTGTCTATTTTTTAATAGTGAAATTGATCTGTGAAACACTAGACTTTTCTATGCTGAAATAGCCAAGATAAATGAGAAAGATACTTATCAGTAATGATTTGATCAGCTTTCTTTTTTTATTTCTTTTCTAATTTTCTATTTGTCTGAAGGCAGCTCTGGTTGTAAACGTGGCTAGTTACTGTCAGCACACAGAAAAAAATTACAACATGCTGCAGGAACTCCAGCGAGAGTTTGGACCATACCATTTCACAGTGCTGGCCTTTCCTTGCAATCAGTTTGGGAAATTGGAGCCAGGTCTGAATGATGAGATAATATATTTTGCTAAATCAAATTATGGAGTAACGTTCCCCATCTTCAGTAAAATAAAAATTCTAGGATCTGAAGGATCACCAGTATTTAAATTTCTGATAGGTAAGTTTGTGTCTCTCTTAAGCTGCATGTTGTGTCTTTTAGTGCAGTGTTACTTTTAGGCAGAAAAATATACAGACTTCAGATTCATTGGATTTGCAGTTTCTATTTAAAAAACTATTTCTAATACCTAAATCTCATCAAATGTTCTTGAAAAGTACAACAGAACGCCAGCAAAAATCCCAGAAAAAGGACTATCTAAATCAGTGATGGCGAACCTATGGCACGGGTGCCAGAGGCGGAACTCAGAGCCCTCTCTGTGGACACGCGTGCCGTCGCCCCAGTCCTAGGCCTTCAGCTGGGTTTTATAAAACCTTTTCGCTTTAGGCCTCCACTGCCGTGTACAAAAAAAAGGTTCAATTAATCAGTCAATTTCAACTTCTCGCGGGGAAAAAAAGATCTTGCAAAGTTGGAATTGATTGATTGAACTTTTTAGTCACACCCAGTCTGCTGTTACCACCGCATCCACGCCCACCCAATGGGCCACACTCACCCGGCACCCGACGATGCATAAGTGGATTTTGGGTTGCAACATTCGCCATCACTGATTGAGATAAATCTGCAATTTGAAATGGAATGTATTTATTTACAATTGTGCAGTTCTTTGCATTCTCCTATGACTAATCCCTGACAGCCAGTTTGGTTTAGTAGTGGTTAAGGCATCAGGCTAGAAATGGGAGACTGTGACTTCTAGTCCTGCCTTAGGCATGCTGGATAACCTTGGGACAATCACTTTTGCTCAAGCCTAGAAGGAGGCAATGACAAATTGGTCTTGAAAATATTGCCAAGAAAACTGCAGAGACTAGTCTAGGAAGTCACCAGGAATCAAAAAGTGACTTGAAGGCACATGCATATGACTAACCACCACACTGCAAAATAGTAACTCTTGTCACTATTTTAGTGACAAGAGTGACATTGGGCAATATCTAACAAAATGAAATTCAGTGGTGAGAAAAGTAAGGTTCTACATTTAGGCAAGAAAAACCAAATGCACAGATACAGTATAGGTGGTACCTCATTCAACAGTAGTAACTGTGAAAGGGATCTTGGGGTCCTAGTAGACAATCACTTAAATATGAGCCAGCAGTGTGCTGCAGCTGTCAAAAAAGCCAACACAGTGCTAGGCTGCGTTAACAGAGGGATAGAATCAAGATCACGTGAAATGTTAATACCACTTTATAATGCTTTGGTAAGGCCACACTTGGTATAGTGCATCCAGTTTTGGTCACCACGATGTAAAAAAGATGTTGAGACTCTAGAAAGAGTACAGAGAAGAGCAACAAAGATGATTAGGGGACTGGAGGCTAAAACCTACAAGGAATGGTTGCTGGAATTGGGTATGTTTAGTTTAATGAAGAGAAGGATGAGGTGGGACATGATAGTAGAGTTCCAATATCTCAGGGGTTGCCACAAAGAAGAGGGAGTCAAACTATTCTCTAAAACACCTAAAGGCAAGACAAGAAGCAACGGATGGAAACTAATCAAAGAGAGAAGCAACCTAGAACGAAGGAGAAACTTCCTGACAGTTAGAACAATTAATCAGTGGAACAACCTGCCTCCAGAAGCGGTGAGTGCTCCAACACTGGCAGTCTTTATGAAGAAATTGGACAGCCATTTGTCTGAAATGTATAAATTTCCTGCTTGAGCAGGGGGTTGGGCTAGATGACCTCCAAGGTCCCTTCCAACTTTATTGTTGTTGTTATTGTTGTTGTTGTTATTATTAAATAAATTCCAAATAAAATTGCTTGGAGACACAGGCTGCCTACCCCTAAGTTTTATTAGATTTTCTGTTGTCTTCTGCTAGTAATTTCACTGCTCACCAATTCTGGCTCCATTCTACACATTGAATAACATTGGCTATTAACTATAAATATTTGATAGGTATTTATGGCTGTCCCCATTTATCTAGAGAGACCATTTCTAGGAAAAGGAGTACACAAATATCAAATTAACACTACAGGCATTTCAATTTCTTATAACATCCATGGTTTTTTTTTTTAGTAGTAGAAAGAAGAAATGTATCAATTTACCCAGTTCTGCAAAATTTCCAGAATTTTTTCTTCTCTAGTCAGTCTTTGATTATTTATTAACAAAAGATATTATCCCATGCTTTATATTATGAATAGATTATTTCTATTAAATTGGATTAATCATTGTGACTATAGACTATTTATATTGAATATTACTTTTTGAAATACTTTGGTATTATTGATGCTTCTGGATTGGTCAAGATGCATAATATCATACAACTTAAGATAGGCTGTTGGTTTATTTTTGATAGAGTTTTTTTAATTTCTACAGAGAAAGAAAAGCATAGTCTTTAGAGGTATGCAGGGAGTATAAGGAAATCAAGATGTAAGGAGAAAACAGTGCTAAGGAAATAGAATAATGGAACAGTCACTAGAAATAAAATGGAAATCGACAGGTTATGATAAGTCTCTCAGAGGAAGGGAAACCTGAAAAAATTATCAGATCTGAAAATGAGTAGTTGGCACGGAGTTCACATATTGTTATGAAATCAATTTTTAATTACAGGTTGTCCTCGACTTACAAACATTCATTTAGTGACAATTTGAAGTTACTATGGCCCTGAAAAAAGTGGCTTATAATCTTTTTCACACAACCGTTGTAGCAACCTCATTTTGATCAAATTTGATCAAATCCACCTTTTGTGACCTTCCGACAAGCAAAGTCAATGGGGAAGCCAGATTTACTAAACAACCATGTTATTAACTTAAAAACTGCAGTGATTCATTTAACAACTGTGGCAAAAAACATTGTAAAATAGACAGAACTCACTTAATTGTCTTGCTTAGCAACAGAAATGTTGGGCTCAATTGTGGTCATAAGTCGAGGACTACCTGTACAAGCTGCTAGTTTCAAATTAGTTCATAAAATGCATACATTCTGTTAATATTGATTAAAGCATGATCCCAACTGAGTAGCTATATTTTTCTAAATCATATCCCTGCTCTCTGTGACCTAAAAGTGTCTTACCGTATGTTATTCCTGCAGATGCTTCTAAAATGGAACCTAGGTGGAATTTCTGGAAATATCTCATCAGTCCTGAAGGTAAAGTCGTGAAATACTTGAGGCCTGAAGAACCCATAGAAAACATTAAGCAGGATATAGCCGCTCTGATTAGGGAGATCATTTTTAAAAAGAGGGAAGACCTTTGAGGAAGTTACTCTGCCTTGTGGATCTGTTGGGCAACTTCATCATCCGGCCTTAGTACATTCTTGTTCAAACATGGCAAATGCTGAACTTATCAATGATCTTTCTTGACATTTAATGCCATGATAAACTGATAAACAGAACATTCTTCTGTTTAGAACTCTAAAGATGCGGAGAGCAAAGGAAGCCAAGACTTTAACAGTGCTCTAAGCACTTTACCCAGTTGAGCCTTGGACCCTTCAAACATGTTTATTGTAATATCTGATTAGGAAATCTGATTATGAACAATGTAAGAGACTTTTTTTGTGGGGAAAAGGTTCCCAATAAATATTGCTTTCTTAAAACAGTTCCTGCTGTGATTTTACACACAAGCACATACACAATTATTATGTTACTGTGACTTTAGAGAGAAAAACAATTTGATGTGGTGGTTAAAGGCATCAGACTGGAAATGGTAAGACTGAGTTCTAGTCTTACCTTGGACATGAAGTCAGCTGGGTACCCTTGGTCCAGTCATTCTCTCTCTGCCCTAGGAAGGATGCAAGGGCAAACTACTTCAATAGCAGTTACCAGTGCTTTTTTTGCAGAAAAAAAAAGGTGCCGGAACTCACACACATTATACATCCCGCCTTGCCTATCCTACAAAATTCCATCCAAAAACGGTGCCGGAACTCCGTTCTGGGCATTCTATGACAAAAAAAAGCCCTGGCAGTTACTAGGAGCCAACCCTAACACAAAGGAATGCCCCCCCCCCAAAAAAAGTTAAGGTTTTAAAATTGCAAGGTTGAGAAAAACTGGCCTAAGCACTGCTGATTTTGTTCTGACCATTCTGTGATGATGAAGTTTTAAACGAAAGGGAAAAATTTAACAATAACCCAAATATTAATACTGAATCTCTGTGGAATCCTTATCCTTAAGCAGCCCAAACCTTTTGTACAAATACTCAACCACAACTGAGCCCAAAATTTCAGTTGCTAAGTGAGACAATTGTTAAGTGAGTTTTGCCCATTTCTTGGCCCAAGTAAAGGGGCACTGCAACAGTCATAAATATGAATCAGTTACCAAGCGTCTGAAATTTAATCACGTCACCATGGATGATCAGTGGTGGGATTCAGATATGTGAACAACCGGTTCTCTGTGTGGATGCCGCTTCTGGAAGTCCATTCTCGGCCTGGGCAACAAAAAATTAGCTACCAGTTCTGCCGAACTGGTGCGAACTGGCTGAATCCCACCACTGGAGATGATGCAATGCTCGTAAGTGTGAAAAGTGATCATCAGACACTTTTTTCAGTACCACTGCAACTTCAAACAATCGCTAAATGAATTGTGGTAAGATGAGACTACCTGTATTGAGAAGAATTCTAAATCTATGTAATACATATGAGCTAAGTCATTTTCATACTGGAGAATTGTCTCCATAGCCATTTCCCTATGCTGGCATCACACACCCAAAGACACAATGGCCCCCTCTTCCTTTGATGAGAGGATTTAATGGGGATGTTGGAATTTAACTTTGGTGCCAGGTTTTAATATTTATGGTTTTAACTGATGTATGTATTATGTTGTTTCTACTGATGTTGTTTTAATTGATTGGGAGCCACCCAGAATTTGATATAAGATGGGCGGTGATATAAATGTTTTAAATAATTAAAAATAAAATAAATACATACTATCTCCTATTAATTTGGACAATAGATAAGCTAGTTTGGAAAAGGCAATTTAGAACAAAATAAATTAAAATCTTAGTGCGCTTTTTCACAGTACTGCATATGTTAAAAGTGTTTATTTACAATGATGGCTATTGCCCTTCTCTCCCTAAAAGCAAATTTCACATATTAGCCTCAAAATGATGTTAAATTGTGCAATAATATGGAAGTGTATTTAGTTGCTGGAACATATAGAACAGCTAACTAAGAGATACACTGCCAAACCATCCCACACAAAGACAGAACACGAAGACAGAACGCACATAGTACTATAAACTCAGATGATTACATCAGAATCAAGAACATCAAAGAAACTTCCACTGATATTTAATGCACAGAAAAATATTTTCAGTTTTGCCTATAAATCTGTGAGCTATCCTAATAATATCCTAATATTCCAACATGGGTAATTTGCAGATAGCAATAGCAATACCACTTAGACTTACAATATATATCTCTTCACAGTGCTTTACAGCCCTCTCTAAGCAGTTTACAGAGTCAGCACATTGCCCTCAACAATCTGGGTCCTCATTTTACTGACCTCAGAAGGATGGAAGGATGAGTCAGCCTTGATTGAGTTAGTCTGCAATATTGCAATCTAACCAGTGAGGCCACCATGCACAGTGTCAGAATGTTAAACACTAATACATTTTTTGATGGCAAACAGTTTTTGAACATTTTGCTACACCAAGTCACCTGATGACCAAAATATGTGCCGTAGGCTGGCAGCTGAATGTCAGCTGGTGCCATCTGGATATCCATCCAGCTAACAATACACTGCCATTCCACTACACACACAGCTTTATGTTATTCTCTTTCTGACAACCAACAGTTCCTGCAACAGGTAACAGTGTGGTAGTGACTGCTAGAATTAAACAAAGCAGCCAGCTAATTCTACACTGCCTACCAGTCACAGGTTACATCACACCAGAGGAGAGTCCTTGAGACACGAATTCTCCTTAGATCGGTGCTACAGCCACTGATGGGTAAAAATAATGCTATAATCAAATATTTATTTCTAAATGGATGGTCCATAATAATAAGTCATGAGGGTTAGGAAGACTGCAACTAAATATGAAAATACTATTCTTGCCTGCCTCCATTCATTCATTCTCTCAAATGTTTTATATTTTTTGATGAATAACTAAATGCTAATATAAAACACCAGAGCTCTCCAATATAGATACCCTGAAAAGCCAATACAGGTAGTCCTCGACTTATGACCACAATTGAGTCCAAAGTTTCTGTTGCTAAGTGAGACATTTGTTGAGTTTTGCCCCGTTTTATGACCTTTCTTGACACAGTTGTTAAGTCAATCACTGCAGTTAAGTTAGTAACACTGTTGTTAAGCGAATCGAGTTTCCCCATTGACTTTTCTTGTCAGAATGTTGCAAAAAGGCAATCACATGACCTTGAGACACAGCAACGGTCATGAATATGAACTATTTGCCAAACATCTGAATTTTGATCATGTGACCATGAGGATGCTGCAATGGTTATGTTACAACAATTCTTTTTCAGTGCTTTGTAATTTTGAACGAGCACTAAATGAACTGTTGTAAGTTGAGGACTACCTGTAATATATGCCTTCTTTTCTTTTTTAAAAGGAAATTCCCTCCCATTTTTCTGAATGAGCAGAGATTGCTTTGAATTAATTCTTCCATGCATCAGGAATGTGCTAGCCTTTTTTGCGCCTTTTCACTTTCCTTGGTTGAAAGAGGGAATAGCTGCAGAACTTTACATGAAGAGAGAAATTCAAGATCAGGTATCTTTCTGTAAGATCCTTTTCTCCTACTTTGGTGTAGTGGGGGTGAATCTCTGATCTATTTCATGGCCCTTTAGAAGCCATATCAAGAAACAGAATTGCAGCCAAAGGAGAGTATAAAAATGTGGGTCTACCAATTATTAAGGGGAACGTTTAGTTTTTATTATCTTGTGTGTGTGCATGTGTGTGTGTAGCAGTCATAATGAGAAATAATAAAAACACATATCATAGTAACATACCTTCATTGCTGCAAAATAACTTATAGAAAAATAAAGCTAAACAAAAAATGTGCAAGTTGATTAACCTAATAATCTCATGTAGGTTAGTTATCCATTACATCATTTAACTGCACTGCATTAAATTGGTAAAAGAGTGATAAAATATACACATTGCATATATTTTATCCAGAAAGTCGGAGTATATAGCCCAAACAATTAATAGACCTTAGACATGTGATTCAAAGATGTCGTGAAAAAAACTTCAAACTTGATTTGAATTGAGGACTCAAATGCCTCTGAGTTGATCCTGAAATCCAAATTAACAGTTAGAATAATTATATTGCCTCAATTGAATCAGGTTTCTGAATCTATACAAATCAGATTTATTTTCCAAACTGAAAGAAGTTGAAATTGGATTTTTTAAATAGGTGTTAATTAATCCAATGGATGGATTCACAAGGACACACTTCCATTATTTCTGCAGCACATTAGAATGCAGCACTCTGGAGTGCAACCAGCTGCTGTAACACAAAAGGTATTCAAACAGCCAGCTAGTAGTGCACTGCCAAAGTGACACATATCTTTTCTCATGTTCAAAATTTCCTTCTCATTGTATTATTCTGTTCAATTTATTTCGCCATGCTTCTTGCGCCAGTGACTCTATGAATATTGATGCAATTAAAAATAATACAGACTCAAAATTAAAAGAATAAACATCAACAATAATAAAAATAAAACCACAGGCTTGGAAGAACAGCCAGATCTTAAAGATATTCCAAAAGACCAGCAGGATTGGGACCAACCTTTCCCATTTAAAATTACTAATACTTCTAAGGCTTTCCCAATAATAAATTGTTATAATCAGCTTGCCAATCATCATAGTTTATGCCATTAGACCAAGATTGTTCAGGGAGAGGGGGAGGAGGTGTTGAAACAGTCAAAATGGCAGGCACAACTTGCAGTCAGCTTAGAATACAACAGAGATTAGATGCCTGAATGGGAAATGGCAAAAGTTTATGCCCATCTCCTTTGTGAGCTTTTCAGATATTGATAAAGATGGACCTTTGATCTTACCCAAAAAGCTCCTCTGTTCATCCCTTTGCAATCCTCAGTGTTTTGAGATCATGACTCTTGCATTTGTAATAGCTGCATAAAATGCTGAATTTGAGCAAACACACCATTTTGTCTTCATTGCATATTGCATTATACTATAGTTGGCTTAATTATGGTCTGCTGTACATATATATGATTTAGTAAAAATATGCCAGGTGAGCAGAATGTCTTAAACCAAAATTAAAAATTACGATATAGCACAATTGTGGACCCAGTGTATGTACAGGTAATCCTCGACTTACAACTATTCATTTAGTGATCATTCAAAATTACAACAATAGTGAAAAAAGTGATTTATGATGTGGGTTTTCACACTTGCAACTATTACAGCATCCTCATGGTAATATGATCATAATTTGGATGCTTGGCAATTGGCCTGTATTTATGACAGCTGCACTGTCCCGTAGTCATGGGATCACCATCTGTAACCTTCCTAGCCAGCTTCCATCAAGCAAAGTCAATGGGGGAAAACCAGATTAGTTTAATGACATGATTCACTTAACAACTACATTGATTGGCTTAACATGGTAAAGGTTGTAAAATGGGGCAAAACTCATTTAACACTGTCTTGCTTAGCAATGGAAACTTTGGGCTTGATTGTGGTCGTAAATCAAGGATTACTTGTATGTACATACAAGATCATAGATCCCTCTCAACAAATATAGCATATTACAGGACAAAAATGTGTTATTCTCTCCCTCACATACTTCTCTCACTCACACACACAATGCTGTTACCATCATTTCTGTTGCTATTGAAAACGCACACTCCATACTTTAGTTCAGTAGCAAAATAAATCCCCCCCCCCTTTAAAAAAGAGCAGGTGGCTGGGCAAGCAAAAATCCTCTGCCAGAGACCTTAAGCAAGCACTTACCAGTCTGGGTAAACAAAGCCGGAACTAAAAGGACAGATTAATCTCTCGCACCTCATCTCCTTTGGGCCTTTTGCATTTACAGCAGGGATAAAAGCAATGCTATTTCTGTTTTCCATTCATTTTCTTTCATAGAACTTTACAAAGAACGCAACTCTACAAAGTCTTACCTTAGTAAGTTTTTGCAAACTTTGTTTTCTGGTCTGTCCGGAGATTGTTCCCAAGTGCTCTCACGATTTTTTTCCCTTTAAAATAAGTATACCGTATACACACACTTTATGTATCCCATTTGAACTATATCCTTATTTTCAAAGACCTGTAATTCTTTTGCTTTCATACTTGTTCAGACACAAATTTCTAATCCTCATTTTCTCCAGCTCACATACACAGATATACTTGCTGCACATTTTATAATGCTGTGTGAATAAATGTTCTGTTTAGCTATCTTGTAAGTTTGACAAGACCAGGAAAAAGAAATGATTTCATGTTATAACATAACCTGGAGCCTACTGATTGTTTCATATTTACCAGGATGTGTCTTATATTTAAGGACTTTAAGCAGACAGGATCCTAGGTATATCCCACCTTTATTATCCTTTGCCAACCAAAGCAACATGCCCTAGCCTATCATAACTGATCCCAAATATATAAGCAGAATCAGACCTTATTTGTACTTGGAAAGGAGGCCACTAAGAAATCCCAAAGCTTTAGGCTAAATTGGGGAATTTAAAAATATCTAGCAGACATCTGGGTTGCGGTAAACCAATTTTATATTGCTCCCAAGCAAGTTATATGGAGGTATCCAGGAAATCATTAATAGTCAGAAGAGAAAGGAAATCTCATCTTTAATAATTCTCTCATTATTTCTTCCCATGTTTATAATTGTGATCAATGCCCCTTTCCTAAAACCATTAAAAAGATATTAAAGATGCCAGGGCCATTTAATTACATCCCTGTGCCTTGTCATACCTCAACCAGCGGAAGTGTCATTGGCTTTTTGTATTTCTAATCCAAATTGTAACTAACTACGACGTAGTTACTACGTTATACTAAAGGAAAATTACTTCTGCGTAAATAGGTGTAAGATCTAAATAGTGGGCGGCGATGGTTCCGTATACTGTCACTCCAGCCAGCAATAAGCGGTTGAATTGCTTTTTAAAAAAGACGACCAAGCCGCTGAGCGGACAGGGCTGAGATTTAGCCACAACACGTCTTCATCCGTCTTGACCCTCCGGGACGCGCATCTTTCTAACTTCCATTCCACCTCTGAAGAGAGTTATTTAATTAGCTTTCCTGGCGCTGAACAATTGCTTTGCTTTTCTGAAATCCCCCCCCTCCTCCTAGAGCCTTCCCTTCGGCAGCGAAGAATTAACTTTCCCAAACAGCACCTAATTTTGCCTACTGCTCCTCTAGGTGCACTCATTGGGGGTCGTGTTCTTCCGTCCGCTCTAACCTTTGCTTCCTGACTTTAAAAAAAAGGGGGGGGGACGCTTTGAGTATCAAGACCCCGTAGGGAATCGCCCGCTGCCTGACTCTGTTACTAGACCCCAATGAAACCCGTTTCGATGGAATCATTTAAAGAGACAAAACAAGCGGCAAGCGAAGCGGGAATTCCTCGCTCTGGCTCCCGATTGGCTGCCTAGTTCTCTGACGTCAGAAAGTTCCCTTCCGCGGAATGTCGCGGCGCGCAGCGTTTGTTGGGTAGGCCGCGATATCCCGGGCAAAGACCCGCTTCGGCTGAGCAACGTGGAGATGCCTCTATTGTCTATCACGGGGCAGCGCGGGGAGCGCTTCATAACCGCGCCAAAGAGCGCGGCGCGGGCGAAAAAGCGGGGAAGGGAGTAGAAATCCTCTTTCTGGTCCGTATGTAGGATGGCGGAGTCTAGAATGGGAAAGAGCCTCAAAGACCAGCTTTTGGGTGCATCCCACTTAAAAACATTTGTTATTGTGATTTTGCTCTGAATGTATTTCCAATGATGATATCGAGGCCCAGAATGGGCAAATCAGACTACGGTACAGGAAAAGATGGCAATGGAGGATGTCTGGCCAAGGCTCTAAATTTGTCATTCATGCTCTCGCAGGGGATTTCATTTCAATTATTCTCCCGTTATTCGTTTTGTTCATTTATTGAGGGGTGGGAGCTGAGGGTGCTCAGGCTCATCAGCCTGTTTACTTCCTTTCCTTCCATTTTTGGATTGTAAAATTATTTTTCTAAAGCTGTTTTATGCTTCTGTCAAAGGTGGTGTTCCTCAGAGCTTCGGCTTGCAATTTCTTGCGTTTAGATCAGTGTTTCTCAAATCTCAGCAGCTTTAAGATGTGTGGACTTCAAATCAAGGTAACCTAATAAAGAAGCCAGGTTCCTGAAGCAAAGCATCCCAAAAGTGTTTCTCACCCTCTCACACATTACAAGTAGTTCTCAACTTATGACTGGTCACTTAGCAACCATTTAAAATTATGACAAATCCCTCCAAAAATACTTATGATGTGATTCTAATGGCCAGAGGCCTCCTTGCAGTCACATGACTGCATTTCAAGTGGTTGGCAACCTGCCCGCATTTACAGTTGTCTACAACATGATTGATTTATGATTTTTTTTTTTTTGCTGAAAACCAGCATTCCAGTTTCTGAAAAAAAATGCTCCATAGCAAACAATGGGTTTACTTAATGACAGCAAAAAAAAATGTAATAAAATTGGGTTGGTCATGTTTACCCATCATGACTTACGACCACAATTGGCAGGCTTCATAACAGTCATAACTTGAGACCTACCTATATATATGTATAAAAGACAACCCATTTGCTGCCTTTTCAGGAAATTCAAAATCCTGAGAAGTAATAGTAAATTTAGCGCTAGCTCATTTTGTCCTGATGCACCTCACACAAAGATTCTCCAGAAGCACATATTCCAAGTAGACTACCCCTGGGTAAAATCAAACTCATTGGCAGATTAAATGCAAAATGGCAAAGGTGATCCTATCTACTTCTCTCCACAGGCATGTATACATGTTTAGGTTATACAGAACCATTATAAGGTACAAAATTTAGTGGTAAATAAAAATGAATAATAAAATAATAATAAAAATAAAAATATTGCTTTTATGGCTGGAAACTATGCCTTCTTAGGTGCAGCTATATTCCTTAAAATGTAGGTGAACAGTGTGGAAAGTATACTTTGCAGATGCCCTAAAGCATTTTTCTTTTAGAAAATCATTTAAATGCTGTATTAAGATTCATTTCACTAGGCTAAATTCCATTCATCATCATCATAATAATAATAATCAAACCAACTAATGTACAGCATAGCTGCAGTTATAACTGAATACCTGGAATGCAAAATCAACAAAGAAGAAAAACAAACAGTGCACCACAAAAATGGAAGGTTAGACTAGAAAATAAGATCAGCAAGTTAAGATCACATGGAAGCAAGTTAGAACAGATGAAAGAAAAGCTGAAGAACAAGAAGACCAAAGAACACCTAATCAAGAAATACCACTTAGAAACAAGGAAGATCAAGGAAGCATTGGAAATAATAAAGCAGCAAATAACAGCTATAGCCAGGAAAATCAGTAGATACGAAGCTCAAATTGCAAATTATAGACAGAACCTCCAATTTAAATCCAATCAGAAATGTTTCTACCAATCCATCAATGGAGAAACTGCAATGAATCAGCCAATACCTGATAAGGAAGAAACAGTGCAGTTCTGGAAGCAGATATGGGATAACCCAAAGAAATATAACAAGGATGTGGCTTGGTTAAAAGAGGTGGATGCAAATAAAACAGAAGTTGAAATGAAAGAACTAATAATAACAGCAGAAATGGTAGAGAAAAGAGCAAGGAAAATCAAGAATTGGTCAGCACCAGGTGAAGATGAACTGTATGGTTTTTGGTTGAAACATCTAACTGTTATACACCCACTCATTGCCAAGCAGTTCAACAACATACTACAAGGAGGAGAAATTGAAAAGTGGCTAACAACTGGGGAAACCTACCTGATAATGAAAGATCGAGCAAAAGGGGCAACACCAGGCAACTACAGGCCAATTACCTGCTTACCAACAACTTTCAAATTGCTAACTGATGTGGTAGCTGATGCAGAATAACAGCATCTAGTTGAAAACAATCTCTTTCCACCTGAGCAGAAAGGAAACTGCCCCAATAGCAGAGGAACAAAAGATCAACTCCTGATAGACAAAATGATCTTGGAAAACTGCAGGAAAAGGAAGACCAATCTTAATGTGGTATGGATTGACTACAAAAAGGCATTTGACTCTCTGCCACATGACTGGATAATCAAGTGCCTAGAAATAACAGGAGTCAGTAGAAACATCAGAAAAGTTGTGCAAAGATCGATGGCACAATGGAAGACACAGTTGCAGGTCAACGATGAGAGACTGGGAGAGGTTAATATCAAGAAAGGAATATTTCAAGGAGATTCATTATCACCACTACTATTTGTTATTGGACTGTTTCCTCTGTCAACAATACTGAATAACTCAGGACATGTCTATCAAATATCAAAAACATCTACCAGACTATCCTACCTCCTTTACATGGATGATTTGACGCTGTATGGAAAAACATCATCTGAAATAGAATCGCTGCTCAACACTGTCCGTATATATAGCTAAGATATTGCAATGGAGTTTGGCTTGGACAAATGTTCCACACTTACTATCAAACAACGAAAAATAGTGAAAACTGAAGGAATCAAGATGCCTCACGAAAATAACATTAAGAGTCTGGATGAGGAAGATTACTACAAATACTTGGGTATTCTTCAATCTGACAACATCAAACACACTGGTCAAGAAAAAAATTAGAGGTGAATACATCAAGAGTCCAAACTCAATGGAGGAAATACCATGAATGCAATCAACACCTGGGCAAAACCAGTTATTAGATACACAGCTGGAATAGTGGACTGGACTGAAGCAGAACTAAAACCAATGGATAGGAAGACCAGAAAAATAATGACAATGAATCATGCCCTTCATCCATGTAGTGACATTGACAGAGTCTACCTACCGAGGCAAATAGGTGGGTGTGGAATGCTGCAACTGCATCAGATGGTTGAAGAAGAAAAAATGGCTTTGGAAGAATATCTGAAGGACAATGATGAAGATGCACTGAAATTAGTATATCAGGAAGGCTTACTGACTACTGGAGAGACCAAACTGGCCTACAAGAAAGACCAAATGAAGAACAGAATAGAGGCATGGGAAGACAAAGCACTACATGGCCAATACATTAAAAAAATAGCTGGGAAAGAAGATAATAATAAAACCTGGCAATGGCTAAGAGCAGGAAAATTGAAGAAAGAGACCGAGGGATTAATTCTGGCTGCACAAGACCAAGCCTTAAGGACAAATGCATACAAAGTCAAAATTGAGAAGACAGCAAAAGACAGTAAGTGCCGCCTATGCAAAGAAGCTGAAAAAACAGTGGACCACTTGGTAAGCTGTTGCAAGAAGATTGCACAGACTGATTACAAGCAGCGCATGACAAAGTAGCAACAATGGTGCATTGGAAGATCTGCAAAAAATATCATTTGCCTGTAAGCAAAAACTGGTGGGATCATAAAATAGAGAAAGTCACAGAAAATGATAAAATTAAACTGCTCTGGGACTTCAGAATTCAAACAGACAAGCACCTGCAACATAACACCCCAGACTTAACAATTGTCAATAAGAAAGACAAAAAGTCTGGATAGTGGACGTGGCAGTGCCTGGAGACAGCAGAATAGACGAGAAAGAACTTGAGAAGATAACAAAATACAAAGACCTACAAATAGAAATAGAAAAATTGTGGCAAAAGCAAGCAAGAGTAGTACCAATAGTAATAGGCACCTTGGGTGCAATCCCAAAACAACTGGAGCACCACTTGAACATCATTGGCATTGACAAATTCACCATTAGTCAATTGCAAAAGGCGGCCTTATTAGGAACTGCTTCCATCCTGCGACGATATGTGTAAAACCATCAAACATCCAGATCTGCTTATCCCAGGTGCTTGGTAAGGACTCAAAAGGTAGACAAAAATGCCAAATCCAGTCTAAACATCTGGCTGACTGTGAGATGATCAATAATTATTATTATTATTAATAATAATAATATAATTAATAATAATTATAATAATTATTAATAATAATTATTATTAATAGTGAGGCACTACCTTGACGTGGTTGTGGGGCTTGTGTACTCCGAGGAAGATGAGAGCTATGCCAGAGGTTCAACCATACTGGACAGGTCTCATCAGAGAAGTCAGACAAAGAGTGTCTCTCCCATAAAAAAATATGGTGAGACGTAAATTTCAGAATGCCATACCGGCTCGGATGTCGCCCGGGTTAACAAGGTCCGCGCTAGATATTGGAGTTCCTGGATATCTGGTGAAAAATGGGTTACAGGACTCAGGACTGTTGGCTGAGCAACCAGGGCCAGCAGCTGCAGAACTACTGGAAGAAAAGGTGTTTACCCGTCGCAGATACACAGTGATGGAAAACAAAGAAATAATGATCTGTTACTACAGATCAAGTCCAACAAGAAGAGGAGATCTAAAACGAATGCACCAGTTCTGGAAAAAACAACATCCAGAATCAGAAATAACAGAACAGAGACTAG